ACTGTTTTGTTCGGTAGATTTTGATCTTTTTTCATGTATTGATAGAATGATTTATTTGGTTCTTTATATTTTTGAGGTTTATTTTGATTGTCTTGCTGTTTTTGTCTACATTCAGAAATACTGTGTCCGTATCGTCGGCAATAATTACACCATTTTTTGAAAGATGGTTTGCCTTTAAAGTTCGGGTTCTTTTCGTAAATATTGAGTATTTCAGTGATTTTTTCAACGAGGTCTGTCTCTGATTCCTGTATATTATTAATATTAGTGGGAGTCGTTTCAATTCTATTAACGTATTGTAATTTGAGATTTTCCGCTTCTTCTAATTTCATCGTGATTTCTGCTTGTTCTAATTTGTCTACTAGTTTTCGAAAATCTAAATCGGGTTCTCGAATTGAAGAAGGATGGGATGCTCTCTTTTTTATTGCTATTTTCCTTAATTGTGGTGTTAAGGTCATCATTAAGATTTCTGTCATCTTTGTGTTTTTATAGTCATGTGTATTTAATGAATATGCTTTTCGAACTAGTGTTTCGATTCGTACTGCTATTTGCTTGATGGTTTCGTTTGGTAATCTGCGAATTTCATTACATAAAACTCTTTGTTGTTGTTTGTTTCTTTCGGAGTCAAACATTTTTGAAAATTCTTGTGTAAACCTTTTCCAGTTTGATTTTATTTCTAGAGGTAGTACTGAAAACCATTTTTGGGCTGCGCCATCTAAGGTTGTTTGTATTAACGCTGTGCGTCGATGTATCCAATTTTGATGTAGTGGCGTATTAATTGGCTCAGGTCCAATATTTAAAATCAGGTTTGCTGTTACTGCATTTAAATAATCTTCTACAGAGTATTCAGGGTCTGTTCCTGTGAAAACCATTAAAGGTTTGTTTGATGTTATTGATGATCCACCCATAAGGTATGGATTCATTGTCATTTGTAATGATTCTGCTGCATTTGGCATTTGAGAAAAATTCGAAAGTTGGTTTCTTGTTATTTCATGTTGTTGGAGATAATATGGGAGTGGTATTTCATTTTGCATTTGTGATGCTTGATACGAGTGTGCAGTCATTGGATTTTGTTGTTGAATTGGTTGAAAAGATTGTGTATTAATTAGATTTTGTTGTTGAATTGGTTGTTGATGTTGTGCATCTATTGGTTGTGGAGAAAAATTTCTATGATTTGTACGTGTTCTCTGTATTCCTTGTCTACGATATTCTTGAGTATTTGGTGCAAATATATCTGGTTGTAAGAAATCATCATCTGAGGATAAATAATCCATTTGATAAGATGTTTGTTTTTTATTTTTATTTTGTTGAAAAAATGGGTAATTTTCACTGTGATCCTGTGGAGGATTTGTTTGGAAATTTATTGAATTAGGTTGGGTCATTGGGTTATCCCAATTTCGAGATCTTGTATATTGGTTAAAATTTCTTTGTGGTTGGTTATATGTTTTTGATGGATGTGTATAATTATAATTATGGTCTGCAAAGTTGTTTCTAGTGAATGTTTTGCGTGTTTTTGATGGTATTGTCATGGGTCTGTATGTTTGGTAATCCATATGTGAATATTTAGGGGCAACCGAAGGTTTAACGGTTGATTGTAAGGTTACCTGTGTTTGTGAAGGATTTGTATTTCTTGGTGTTGTTAAATTTGGGCGTATTGGTGAAATACTTTGTTGTGTAGTTGTTGTGTGTACAATTTCTTCATTTATGAAGTGTGATGGTGTCTGGATATCTTGTTGAGTAAGATTCCTAGTTCCATTGAGGTTTTCATTGTGTATAACTGTAGAGTTTAAACTATTATTTTGTGTATCGGGTAAAAATGTATTATAGTTTAATGGTGTTGCATCAATGGTTAATGGTATTACTTTTACATAATCTCTTATGTAAGATATCGTACTTATTGCTTGACTTGAGATTGATTGTGGGAAGCTTATAAATGCGGGATGAGACCATTCGGGGTCCCAAACATAATCTGATTGTTCTGTGATAGCGGTATCATCGTTCGAGTTTTGGGGTCTAAAATTTTTTCTTGCTTGTGCAATTAAATCGATATTGTGTGTGAAATAATCTATGATGAACCATGCCAAAATTTTTTGTAGATCGTGTTTTGTATGTTGTGAAACGTCGTCTTTTGTGAAATTTTCTTTAATGATGTTTAAATAACTAGAGAGTAGTGTGATTTCATGTCGTACTCTTAAATGTTTAGATGTTTCTGTCGGTGAGACATTTGTTATTGGGATTTCGTTTTCTAATATCGAAATATAACTATATATTATTGCGAAAACTTCATTGGTGAATATGGAGTTTGCTCTTTGTGAGTTATGATATTGGATGCTTTTTATATATTCTGAAAAAACTTTTGAAAATTCTAAATCAAGATCGTCTGTTTGAATTGTATATTTTCTATTATTATGGTTTGGTGAGGTGAATTCTATGGAATAGATTCCATACTGTTGTGTTATGTTGCATATATCTTTTAAGTAGTGATCTATGATTTGTCTTTTGATTTTTACATCGGGGAACTCTGTTTTACATGGACTGATTCCGGGTTCAAATAAATTTACGAGTAAATTTTGACAAAATATGTGTTGTCCTCTATCAGTATCTGCGTCTACTATAAAAGGAAAGATTTCATCATCATCTGGAGTTTCTTCACCTGGAGTGTGCGTTGAGCTCATTTTTTCGTTCGATGACTGTTAATATGTAATTATTAATGTGTCGAATTGGTTGATTCCAATTGTATAAATGTACTGGTTTGTGTTTATACTGCTTTTTTATTCTTCTTTTTCCTCTTTTTGATGAATTTGAAGTTGTTTCTGAGTCAGAAAAATATAATTGATCGTGAAGTGGGTAATTTTTATCTATTGATTCTTTTAGTTTGTAAAGTTCGTCTAAACTGTTGGTTTCTGATTCTGAAAATGCGTTTCGATTTTTTGAAAATCTTTTTCGTGTTATTTGTCTTTGTTTAGTTATTATTTTTCTCTTTAGTGTTTGTCGTTTTGTTCGAATGTATCCAACTGTTTGTGTATGAGGTGTGATTACAAGGTCGTATTTTTTGTTTTCTATTTCACAATTGTGTAAAACGATTGTTTGTTTATTTCCTAGGTTTTTAAATGACATAAGGTTTAGGATGACGGATGCAAAAGGTTGTTAAGTGGTTTCTATTTTTCTTAAACTGTTAGTTCTTACGATTTTTTGGTTAGCTTAACCTGGGTCTGTTTGTTCAGGGTTGGAGAGAAAAGTATATCGATTCCGAAGAATGATTTTTTACTTTCTCGTGGCTAGTATAAGTTAAGGTGTTAACTTACTTAATCTTACTTAGGGGTAGTGATTGTGTTCAAGGGTTGGAGAATAGTAAATCGATCCACAAGGTTCAGGTATAATTAGAACGCGAGTAGTTCGTTAGATACTATTTTAAACTTACTAAGTCTAAGATTTATCCTGGGTCTGGTAAGAGGGGGGGTCAAGTGAAGGATGAATAACCGAAGTTCTTCACTATTTATCCTAATTTGAATGATTAGTTTTGTTTAAAAATTTCTATTAGTCTTAGGTCTTTAGAAAGGGTTGGGTAGTGAATCGACGTTTGAGGTCGTTAGACACTAATTAAGTGGGTGGGGGAGAACAAAGTTGTTCTGTTTGATCCAAGGATAAGCCTTGATGATCAAATTTAAAATTTAATTAAGTAGAAAATGATTTAAGATCCAAGGATAAGCCTTGATGATCTGGTTTTAAAATTAAGTGAATTTAAGTTTTAATAAAATTTTAAATGTGTGTAAAGGAAAGATTTAGTGTTTTGATGATATTAGTGGGTTTATGATTGCTGTTATGTTTTAGGTGATGGAGCTGGAACAACAGGATGATTTATGATTACTAACCATTTATTGTCATGCTACTAATTTTTATTTTTTATTTTTCAATAAATATTTTTCAAACATGTTTTGTATATTACTGCAGAATTTTAGGAAAACGATCTTAGATCTTTTTATCAATCGTTATTGTATATTAATAATTTTGTTTAGCGCCTGAAATGATTTTGAAGATTAACTTCAAGGTTTTATGTTTGCAAATGAAAATCTAAATTCATTGCCAGTAATATTCTAAATATAAAAGTTTGTTCTGGTTTTTGCCTAACTATCATATAGCTATATGGCAAGTTTCTACTTTGTCGTATGTCGTCTCTGGTTCGAGGTCTTCTTCCAATTCCGGGTAGTTCTGTTATGGTTCGGAATATTGGCTCTGATCTATTGAGTCGTAGAGACATTTCGATTAAATTATTGTCGTATAACATTTTGTAAATGTTTTTGTCTAATTTCTAATCTATTTTGGTTAATTCTAAGCTATTAAGGTCTTGTTCGAGACTTATGGTCGCACCAGATGAGTTATGACCGAGTTGGTTAACTCATAGAGTAATTTCGGATAGGGTACACCGTCTGCTCGTCACGCTATCTTATTTTCGGCCGGATAGATTCGTGCAACTTCTTAGTCTAATACCGATCCTAATCTTACTCTTATACTATCTAGTCTCAGGTTGTTTAACTAGTCTCTGCTAGGCTCAATAGATCTAGGGTATACTGGTTTATTGCGGCTGCTGAAGTGCTCGGGAGAGTCCAACTAATTTCTAAGTTAAATTCAAATCTCTCTGGTGCTGAAATTACAAGTAACTTCAGCACTTACAAATAAGTGGGTTGTTAGTTAGATGGATCATGATTGGTTAATATTAAATACTTTACATTGGTAAAATATCTAATTTATCCAATCATAAAATGTAGTTTAGATCAGGTTCCACTTGGATCGAGCAAAGCCGAGCACGTCTTGCTTATGTATCAATTGCTTGTGTCTGTCGCAACGGTTGGAAGAATAAAAAATATCGGTCTTGCAGGTCAAAATAAAAATCAAACAAATCGACCGGGAATATAATTCTTTTTACGAGATAAATCTACGCGAGCAGATTATTTTTTAAACATTTAAGATTTTGGTTTCGAATTAGAGAAACATTGAGTACTCACAGGAGTGAAGTGTGGTAATCTTCCTCTACAGCAATGATAATCATTTTCTTTTTTAACAGATCGCTTCCATTTTTATCTATTATCCCCTTCAGGAAATCCAAAAATGACACTTTTCTGTGGTTCACAAGAAAATAAATAATTTTTACATCGTCATCTTCAGCTAACATCTGACATTTAGCCAGCAGTAACGATGTTTTTCCACTTCCTGGTTCTCCACTTATCAATAAAAAGGAAAGATCGGCATTAGATAAAATGCGATGTTGCTCTGGGCTAAGAATGAAATCTTGACCAGTATAAGTCAAGTTGTTTTGCTTTGGCTTCCAATTTTTGAAAGATTTTCGGTATCTTTCGTCGACATCGCGATTGGATAGCTTATCTTGTGAAAGTTCTATGGCATTCAAAGAAGACAAAGTTATCAAAGCTGATATTTCACGAAATATTTCAGATTGGCTGCTTGATTTGGAAGTGAACAGATCTGAGAATGAGTTCGTTTTTGAAAGCCTTGAATCGTTAGATTCTAGGTTTGTCCAATTCGTAGAATTGGAATGGCAACCCAAGATATCAGAAGAAGGTCTACGCTTAATAGAACACAGCGCAAGATTTTTGTCAATTCTGAATACATATTCACTCTGTCCATCTTGTTGAAGAACAATAAATAGATTGGTAGACCAGAATTGTTCATTGAATTCCAGTAAATTAAACAGTTTAGTTTGACCCTGTTTTGCTTTCAATTTGTCGATTGCCTTTTGAAACTGCGAGAATGTTATGTTCGGCAGCAAAATGACTACTTTGAAAACTCGCATAATAAAGTCTATTTCTTTTTCAGTTTTTTGTTTTTCTGAGGCGGCAAAAAGCGAAAAAAGAATTGCCTGGAAATGTGGAATTGTTCTTTTGAGAGCTTGGGTAATTTTATTGCTAATAGTAGAACAGTTTGAGTTCTTTGTTTGCTGTTTTGTGTCTGACAGTCCAATTTCGATGGCAATAATTATTTCATTCCCAATATACAGCCAATCAGTTTCGAATTCTCCTGGCTGAACAGAATCCTCGGAGAGCAAAGTGACAAAATGTTGGTTGCTGTAATTTTTGAGCATAAGGCCATTTGGCGATTTAAGCTTAGAAATATATTCCCGCAAGAATATGCCGACTTCACCCTGGTAAGATCCAGTGTCCGAAATGTCCTTCAATTGCCCGTCATCGGTAGTTTTGTACAATAGGTTATCAAAAATTAAATCAATATCGGGAACAAATAATAATTTTTGATTGCGATTTTTGAAAAACACGTCGAAAAGTTGAAAAACGTCTTCTGTTTCTTGGAATGAAATTTTGTGGCCACCAAAGGTGCAAAATTTTTGGGTCCGCAGTTTGTAAATAACAATTTCTTCATTGTATTTCTTCTTTATTTGCATTGTTAAATCACAAACGTGGCTGCACGATGCAGTAAAATAACTTTTCAGCAACTCAGTTATCTTTTCTTCTTTTTTGTCGCTGACACACTCAATCTTGTCAAAAAACGAGCAGTCAAATTTTTTCTCGGCGTCTCTGAAACTTTTGTAGATGTGCTCAGTCATCTTTGGAGTTTTCCCCCAGAGAACTAACACTAGCTAAAACAATTACAAATACCATTTTCTTAAGAGTACTTGGTAACTACTCAAGATGAGAACAGTTTTCAAAAATTTAATCTGCCTTCGAATTTATTAAACAAAAAATGCAGCCTTCACAGATATTTACAAAACCAAACGGCGATCAAAACCAAATTTGTACGCTGAAAATAAAGCGTGAAAAGTTTTGCAGGAAAAATCGAAAATCACAATACTTTAGTTAGTGATAACTCGCCTAGCTCAGTAAGATTACACTTGAAACATAAATCTGTTTTTGGGGGTTTGTTTTTTATTGATTGATAGTGGGAGAATCATTAATATTTCCATCAACGGTTCGCTTGAGGTCCCATGTTTTGGATAACTTAATTTCTCCCAAAATATATTTTAAATTCCGAACCGTTCTCAGTAAAAAGAGAAAATAATCGATTTTTATAAAATTTTTTTAGATGTTTAAACAATTTAGAATCCATTATAATGATAACATTTTTGGTGACATTTTAATAGATTATAATCATTCATATTTGATTATAATTTTTCCAAAAATCTCTTATAATCTCTTATCTATTGTGAAATATAATATTTAATCTCTTATCTATTATATTATATTATTCTATCAAAATATTGTTTCACAAGAAAAATCAAATTAATTGGTTTATAATACAGCAATTATGAATGAAAACAGAGTACAAATCAGTACAAAGTAAACAATCAGTAAACACTTAAGCAGTAAACACAAAGAAAGAAAATAGTAAACAGTAAAGAGTAAGAAAATAAAAGTAAACATTAAAAAATACAAAAAGATACCAACTGAAAAGCACACAAAACAAAAAAAAAAGAAAACGAAATGAAGCAATGACGTTTGTTTAATAATAATAGATTATAATCGATTAAAATTGATTATAATTCAATAAAACTTCAGAAAATTATTTCAAAAAATAATCAATTATAATCGATTATACTCAATAAAACATAAAAAAATTTTTGTTTCGAGAAATAGTTACGTTATAATTCATTTTTAATCGACTCTAATCGATTCTTTTTTTTAGAATTGTTTTGAGAAATAAAAAAAAAATAAAAACTCAAGTACTAAGTTAAAATGAACTATAAAATATATTAATTTAAGTCTTGGAGAGGTCGTGAAGCCAACTTTGTTAGCTGATAAAGAGTGTACCTGTCAATCTAGAAACTATTGAAATGCAAACTGCACTGCCCTGTTTGAATTATTGCTCCATGAGAACGAATTATCGGTCCAACGATAAGGTTGATTCGAAAGAAATTAAAGAAAAAACATATAAAAAACGATCACAAAATTCTTTCACTCGTTTTTCTTCGAAAAAAAAACAAGAAAAATGAATGATAATAATAAGCCAAAATCTTGGGGTTGGTTCAGAAATGTATAAGCAATGAGTTTGTTCGGAAATTTATCGGCATACTAGATGTACTTACTTCTGTCTGGTTGGTTGTACTTTGTTTTCGGTTTTCACTCCTTCCAATAGTTTGATTTAGTTCTCGAGCTTGGTCAATCAGCGAGTCAATAATCGACTGTGTTTTTGTTGAACAAATTTGTTTTTCATTCCTCTTCTCTGATGTATAGATATCAGATATGCTTTTGAACAGAATGATTTTGTTGGATGTCGGGAATGGGAGAAACAAGCATCCATGGCTTATGTTATCCGTCTTCTTTCGGCCTCTTACCAATAACCCTTGGTTGACACTATACATAATCTGAGAAGTAAGTTTGGAATGACCTTGGGCCAGTTTGGTCAAGGGATTAAAGTCGTGTAGTTCTGATGGGAAGCTCGGGACAACTTTCAGTGAGTGTGAATTCTCGTTCCAAATGCCTTTCGAAACTTCCTTCTCAACTGCTTGGCTTTCTGATTTATGCTGCTGACTTGAGGAGCTGCATTCCTGAAAAAAAGTACACAAATCTCCAAAAAAAAATTAAATAGTGGATGACCTGTTTTTGGTTTATTTTTTCAAACATAATTTGAGTGTATTCGAAATACAATTTTCCTTGGTCATTATTATTAGTCACGGGTGGACCGATGCTAAATGCTGCTTGTTTAATGGCAAAGCTTTGGGTGTTCCAACTGATCATTAAGCTGCGATTGTTCCAACAGTATTTTTAAAACTTTTCCTCGTAAATTGTATCGCAAATAGCGAGCCGTAATGAACTTGGAGCAATTTATGTAGCATGTCAAGTCGTCGCATACGCTGGACCATACATAAAAACTGAAAAATTATGCTCAAATATATCTATATTGGCCAAATTAGCAGTTTTCAATCCCCCAAAAACTTCTAAAATAGATATGAATCATCATTGGTAAAAATCTCATCACTTTACAAGCTTTTCTGATATCTCTTCATTTTTTGCTTATTCTTGCGCGTTAAAACTTCTTTTTTGAAAATTAAGGTGGAGTTAAGCTGTGAAAATATACTTTTCCAATGACTGAGTCAAAGAGCACAAATTTCTCATTTTGAACACAAAAATCTTGTGAAAGATTCGTTTGCAGAAAAAAAACTGCAAAATTTTTAACTGTTCATATAAAAAAGTCAAAATTGATCTTTGAGGACCAAATTGGGGAGAAGAGTTTTAAAAAGGTAGTACGCTAACTTTGATACAAATAAAAAAAATATTTTTGTTCAGCTGACATATTACTTCCATTCTAAATCTCATTGATTCATGAGTTATACGAATCTGAAATATACAGATGAAATGACACCAGAATTACAAACTAAAATTTAAAATTAAATGTTGTCAGCCTTTTTTGCATGCTATATGGGAATTGGGAGGCTCTATTTTTATTTCGTCTAATTTAAAAAGCGCGCAATTTTTTCTTAACATCTCAAAATTTTTCAATGCTTGTCAATGTTACTTTATTTCGGAGCTAGAATTTTCTTCAACCCAAGCTCAAATGCAAACCAATGAGTAACAGTTTAAGTGTCTGCATGACACTTTACAGTTTTCTGTGAAGCAAGCTTACAAAATTGCGTTCAGACATAAAATGATTTAAATTGAAACAAAAATAGCTGGTTACTGTGCAAGTAGCCCAGAATGTTCGACCATAGTCTTTAAAAACTACAATTATTTTTGAAGATATTGTAAATTTTTTCCCTGTGGTGTGATAAGAAAGATGTGAAAAAAAACTAAACATTTGGCGTTTTTGACGATCATAGTAAAAAAATATGCAAAAAACTTTTTTAGAAAAGTGACTAGAAAAACAAAAAAGAAAAAAATTCAAATTTTTTGGCAGTGAATTTTTGCTTCCAAAAAATGGCATTTAAAGTTTCCAAAACCTAACTTTCTTGCTCAAAATTCAGTTTTTAGGGCTTAAATTAAAAATAGATAAGTTGATGTAAGACTGCCCGCTTGCTTTAATTGTTCTTTATTTGCAGACTTGAAAGAAAAGAAAGTTTCGTTCTTTCAAACAAAGACTGTTTTAAACTTTTGTAAAAAATGACAGCTGTTTGGCAAATTGAGTGCGAAGTGATCGAGAAACGGAAACGTTTTTCTAAAATGTTTGATTCGTTTTTTCGTCGGCTTTCAGCCGTTTCTCGCACCATCAGATTACTGCTTTCTCTATAATGCTTAGAAAATTTTTCACAAAAAACAAAAATTTGATCAAAAAGGTATTTTCTAGAGACATTTCGATCATGGATAGCGCTGGGCGTAATTCTTTGTAGTCGATTACCAAAAACCGTTTGGAAAAAATTTGGAGGTGTTCTGTGCAGGAAAAAACTTTGCTCATGGAACATTGTTTTTTTTTGTTTTTACAAGCAAGCCAAAAAGCAAACTAAAGAATGTTTTAAGACATACCGAAAGTAAGGCTCTAAACATGCAATGGTTCCATTAAAAAAGAAAACGAGAGCAGAAGTATGGCTCGTAGACCTTATTTTCCCTAAAACATTTAAGAGTCATGTATTTCTTTGGAATCAATTTTACGGCAGTTTCAAATGTTATGACTGTAGCAACCTGAACAATATCCAAAAACAAATCATGCGTATCATCAAAAAAGTAAGTAAGAAGCTTCAAAAAGTGTACACTTTCTTTTTTCAAAAATCTGTCAAGCAGTATCCTGACATATATACCCTTAAAATGATAGAAGTTGGAACTATTTCAGGTTCTTCATTTCTTTTCATTTGGATGTTTGAGATTAACATAGTTTTAAATGTTTTCATAGTGTCACACAGGTTTTCCTAGTTTTTTTGGACTCTTAGATTATATCAAATTAAAATGTTTTCGTTTTCAATTGATAATTAATTTTCAGCCAATCAATTCCAAACGGTCTCAGAATGTTTTTGAAGTTTAACCTATTTGAGGTCATTCTTTTAATTGCATTTGAATGTATAAGACTCACACAGTTTTAAATTAAGGTTTTCAAAGTTTATTCGACTTCTTCGAACATTTCAATTCGAAATGTTTTCATAATCAATTGATATTTAAAGTTGAACCAACCAATTCCAAACGGTATTACAATGTGATGAAAGCACTATCCACTCTTATGATTTTAAAACCTACTTTAGACTTGTTTCATTGGGGTGATCTAAAATGCACTAAAATTGCTAACTTACAGCAATAAGTATAGTTTTTAAAAAATGATTACATTGAATCTTGCATATTTTGGTTCAAACATTATTCACAAAGAGAAAAAATTAAGATGTGGGATACGTTTTTTCCAAAACTTCACAGTCAGAATTCGCCACCTCAAAAAAACTTGTACGTTTGTTTTCTGCAAAAAATCATTTAGTTCTTTTTGTCTTGATTCGGACTTTAAAGAAAACTCAGAAACTTTGTAAGTATCGCCAAAGACGTACCGACAACTAATTGATTTTTCATGTAGAACCCTTGCGTTTCTTTGATATTTTGTAGGCACTTTCTCAAATGAATTAACTATGTTTTTAAACGATAGAAGCAAAAATCAGCTTTCAGTATTATTTTTCGATTTATTTTTTTAGATCTCTTAAAGCTCATTGTAGTTTGAACAGTTTATGCTATTTGTGCAACTAGTTGCCGTTTTTATTCTTTGTAGGAGACAAACTTTTCTTTTAATAATTATTGGTGCTTAAAGTGAGGATTGAAACTCAATTTTTCATCAGTGAGTGTTTGTAAAAACTTCCCAAGCCGAACCTGCTAATTGCTAATAACCCAACTTATTTTTTCATGGTTTCGACGCTCTCGAAGATTTGGATTGAGCTATGGTGTAGTGTCCCTCTTTCCAATTTTGAAATTTTTTCTACTATCTCAAGGAGAACTCGAAAGTTAGTTTTTAGTTTTGTTTCAAATAAAAGATTTTTTGAAAGGGGGTTAAAGATTAAACTTGATCTTCATGTTGACAAAAACTGGTCCAACAAATGTATCTCAGACTGAATAGAGCACATGTTAGAACAAATTTTTGTTGAGCTGATAAGTTAATCTACTATTGATTTTTTTTCAAACAGATACTAGCCGTCATGTTTTGATATTTTTAGCTAATCAAATACATTTTCTCAAAATGTTTTTTAGAACTTTTCATTAAAACAGTTGAGAAAAATTCCAACATTTTCAATTTTAAAGTTTTGTTTTTTCTTCTTGATTTAATTAAATACGAGATTGGTTAAAACAGTGTTTTCTTCAATAAATTTATTGATTAATTGAACTGAATCTCGCGGGGCATGTTGTTTAATGCATTTGAATCCATCAATTCAATTTTCATTCTGGAGTATCCCATTGTCCAAGCATAGAATTGAGACTTACCCATAATTTTTTTTCTCGTTTTCCTCACAAAATTTATCTTCTTTTTAAAAATTGACAATCTCTGCATT